ACATAGAACCTCCCCCACAAGAAGAACAGTTCAAAGAACCTCCCAAAGAAGCTCCCCCCAAAGAAGAACAGTCCAAAGAATCCCCCCCCCCCCCCCAAGAAGAACAGTCCAAAGAAGCTTCCAAAGAAGAAACTGCAAAAGAAGCACAAAAAGAAGAACCTGCAAAAGAAGCTCAACATGAAGAACCTTCCAAAGATGCTACCCAAGAAAAACCATCCACAAAAGAAATTGTTCCTTACCAAAAAGTTCCATAAACAAAAGAAATAATCAATGTTGATGATGTTGTAATAAAGGGTTACCCTGCAAGTCCTACAGTTAATTTCAGAGGCTTGGAAATGTTGAGTCCAGAGAAGAAACTTTTTATCCGGGAAAACATAAAGAAATATCTTGACATGTATTTTATTTGTGTATTGGGTGCGTATGGTAGGCGTATAAAATGCATAACCAATGCGTACGTAGTGCGTACATTATGCGTATACAATGATTTTTATATGCGTACCATATGCATATTTTTTGTTTAAATATTTCAGTGGCATGAGAGTATTTGAAGCTAGGAACATTATTATTTCAAGACGTATGATGGACGAAATATTATCAGACAATTACCTGGACAATGACCATGTTGATGCTTTTGCCATTTTATTAAATGAGAAGTCTAGAATTTCACCAGAACAGTATCATAAATATTTATACATCTCACCAATATATTGAGTTAGTATACTAGTTTATTTTATATATAATTATATATTTCAACTATTTAATTCTTATATTTTATTCTTGCAGCATTATAAGGTTAAAGATGAAACTTCAAAATTATTCATCGAGCACGTAAACTACAAGTCTGTTCATTCATGCAGTATTATAATTAATCCAATTATTGACGGCTCGCACTGGACCCTTCTAGTTGGTTATAGAAATCAAAAAAAGTTGGAATTTTACGATTCTGTGCCCAACCCTATACATAGAAGTATTGCTGTGAAGATAGTGAGTTTGATTGTAATCTTGTATTGCTAAAAAATTTCGTAATTATTTTTCAGTGACTAAATTTTATTCCATATATTGTTCAGATTGCAAGCTTATATAAGGATTGCAAAAAAGCTTTTGGTGAAAATATCAACAAATGGAGTTTCAAGACAATCAAGAAGGCGCCAACTCAGACCAACAATACAGATTGCGGTATGTTCGTTTGCAAATATATGGAGAATATTGCTCGACAAAACAACTCCAACTGGAAAGAGAGCACGGATTTGCAGGAAAAAATGTCAAAATATAGAGCAGAATTCACATACGGATTGTTTTGTGCTTTAATGAAATGAACTTTTCATGTTATAAATTAATGTAAATAATTGGTATTTTTTCCATGTAAATAAGAATAATTTCATGTGATTTTGTAAAGTGCGCATTTTATACAGTTATCCAAATGATTAAAAAGGTTTTCATGTGCGTAAGCG